TATATATATATATATATATGCTATATTAGGAATTAGGGAGTAACTAGTGAAGCAACCAAATAGAAAATTTATTGTCCTTGTCACTGTTGATAAAGTGAAGCCGCCATAGAAACTAGATCTTACACATTATTTGTTTCTATATAAATAGAAAGGAGAAAAAAATAGGATAAAAATGTCAAATTTTCGTTATTTGTTTAAGAGAAGAAATAAAAAAGAATAAAAAATAGTAAGTCCTACAAGAAAAAAGTCCATGAAATAGGAGAGGGGGATCTCTCTATTTTCTTAGTTTCTTAAATTAAATGAAATTTTATAAAGTTAAAAATAATAAATAATTGAATATTAAGAAAAATAATAGAGAAAAAAATTTAGTTTTTTGGAATTAAATTTATTATTTTAATTAGCACAAAAATGTGTAACAAATAATATTTATTTATTTTCACTATCTTATTTATCCATGCAAATATAGAGACAATTTTCTATTTCTTTCTCATTTATATTCATCAAAATAAAATATTTTTAATTATTTATTTGTATTTTTCTTTTACTTCTATTTCTTTCTTATTTTTTTCATTTATAATCCAAATAAAATTAAAGGAGTGTAACAATGTTATGAATCTCTTTCAACTAAAATAATAGGTTCAATGTGATATTTAAGTTGTGAAATTCTCTCACCTAAAAGACTATTGTTTTGAGTTAAACTCTCCTTATATGATTATCAATACTACTTATATTTTAATCTCAACTACAATATTTATGACGTAGGAAAAATTACCCCTAAAATGTATTTAAATCTTGTTTTTGAAGGTGAGATAACTTGATTGAAGTATAAAAGTAGCTAGGTTTAATTTTTAAAATTAGTAATGCTACAATTTAAGAAAGATTTTTTTAGTGTCAAGAAGAAAAAGGATAATGTAAAATTTTGATTTCAAATATTTCTAATAAGTGTGACTACATGAGATCCTATGAGTTTTGTTTATATTTATATAAAGTATGAAGATTATTTTTTAGTAAGAGTCTTTTTCTTTATCTAATATGACAAGGTAGAAAGGAATATGTTATATAAAAAAGTGTTGTCTCCTTATATAAGATTTTTTTTTGCTAAAACAATTTGATCGTAAAATTTGTTCAAACTTCTATCAAGTAAAAAAAAACTCTTTTGATTGAACAAAATTTTATCCTTTGACAAGAACTTAAAAGTAATCTTTTAGAAATCCATTTAAAGAGTTTACATGTCTCAAGCAACAACTTAATTTTAACGAGCATTTTTTTTTTGTAAACCATTTTGTAATATCAATTTAACTCTTTTATTTAATCCATTATAAATTATAAACCAATAAAATATTAATTTTCCTTCTAATTCTTTTTTATTACCCTCCTACTACATAAACTCAATTATTATTTTAATAATAACTAATATTGAAATTTAAATTTTCATGCTGATAATACAACACATGAAAAAGGAGGGAGGGAATCTGCTCCCTTTAATGATCAAAATAAATGTCCCATTCCCTAACCCAATATTTACATCACAAAAGAAAAAAGATAAACACATCACGCTCTTCACATATCAAAATCTCACTTTTCACACGAATTGACTGGGGAAAAAAAAAAAAAAAAGAATTTCTGAAGATAAATTACAGTGCCACTTTCATCATAATCCACCAATCAGCAGCTACCGTGGATAAAAACAAGACAACTGGACCATCAAATATCAATTCGTATTGCCTTTCAGCTTTCATAATCGCTTCCTCAATTGAGACCCTTTGCCTAC